GTGAAGTTCACTATTATAATATTTGGTCTTGGTGAGTTGCATGACAAGAAAGGTTCCGGAATTTTTTTCTTTTAGAAAGAAGAAAGATTTTGAATTGGTTAGTGGCTTTCTAAGCGTAAGTAATAGATCTCTAATTGGTATTAGTAATGTTCTCTTATTCGTTGTTGATGTTTTTATATTTCTTAATCTGTTCCCCATCGTGCATATATCATATTCATTAATCTAGGTATGAAATTCGTTTTTCTATGGTTCATGATTTCTGTTTTGATAATTTTAGAACGTTTGAATCTATACTTTGTCATCACATCGCTTGCAGACTCACTCACCATCAATTTCTAAAGCTCTGGTCAGGTGGCTCTTTCAAGAAAAAGTTGAGATTTTTTGTACGTGTTATTTCTTGCCCATCATGCCTAGACAAACCTTAAGAAGCAGGTTGCATAGGATGTTTCTCCGGTTTGTATCCGTTAAATTTGTTAAACACGTGTGTTTTTAAATATGCTCTCTTGCTTCATCTCCTAGCTAAAATTCCATCGTAATGTTTTTGATCACCATCAACTATTTTGCATTAATGAAGCATCTTATACATGTGCACCTGTGTTTTTTTTTTTGTATACTCCTCCCCATGCCCTCCTCAAATCTTTTTCTATTGATTTGATTGGACAAACCCACTTGCAAAAGTTTCTAGATGGCAATATGAAACTACCGGATGATTTCAGTGTTTGCTGATATTCTGTTTTTATTTGGTTGATTAATCCAGGAAAAAAAAATGATCAAAAGACCTTTTGACAAATTCAATGACAATGTTCTTAAGCCAGGTTGTCATTGTTTGCCATGGTGTTTGGGAAATCAGTTTGGCGGTCATCTCTAAGGTCTCTGAAACTTCCACAAACGATGCTTTGTTCTTTTGTGTCCCTATAATCTAGATGTTTTGTGACATTTAAGTTTGTATTGATTTTGTGTACATTGTTTATTTAGGATCAAGAGTTTGTCATTGTTGTTGCTTCCATTCAATTCCGAGACTTAGCGGAGAGTGTTCAAGATGGTTTTTACAAGCTCAGCCACACGAGCAATCTGAATTAAGCTTATGTTTGTGATGGTTTTTGTTTGCCTAATAACTACTAATTCACCACTGTTTTATTTTTGAGCAAGTGTGCAAGCTGGATCTTGACTCAACCTTTGAGCAGAAGAACGACATTGTAAAACCGTTGAGAGTGAGCTTGAAAATTTGAACCAAACAACTTTAAAGCCCTTCAGATAATTCAAGAAGCTTATTGTGGATGTGAAGAGGGCAATTTATAAGATGAATGGCTGTATGCTCAATTGTTGATATACATGTTTTCGACTTTATACTAGCTGAGAATCTTTAACATCTTTAACATGTTTTGTTTCTAGGGACAAACATCTTTAACAATGACGAGGCAGAAAAGTTACCTCTTCTGAGGGAGAAGCTGAATCGAAATGCCTCTCTAAGTCTGTTCCATGGACATCTTCTAAAGATGGATATAGTTCTGATGGTCACTCAGTAGTTTGACACATTGAAGGAAATTAGTGTCTTCGAAGTCAAACTCAATGTTCATTCCACACAGTCCAGGCGTTGTTTTTACATTGCTTTGTAGATCAGGGATGGTCTTCTTCATGGTAACTCTGCTTCGTAGATATGTCATAATTCAAAGCATTCTTCAAGGTTTATTGTGTGTCGCTACTGAGTTTAACGAATACCAATGCAACGTATGTCTTGAAGGGTGTAAGGTGGGAGCTTCAAAACTTCTTATGTGTAGTTTATTGTTTTAATCTTTTCAGAATTTTTTCACATTTTTACGTGCGTCTCTCGCTATGTATGATTTGAGACTTAAGACTATTATACTAAAAACTGAAAAAAATATACAAAAGAAATGTCATTTTTAAAATATCATTTTTCAATAGTTGAACGATAAGATAAAAGTAAGATACATTACAATCATTTATCTAAAAAATATATGTACATGCTAAAGAAACAAGATAATTCATTGTAACATTAGCGATTTGATATGGGCAGGAACGATTAAACCAATTATAAATAGTAAAATATGAATTATTGGATCACAAACACTAAAATTTAATGAATCATAGTAGTTGAAAACAGAAAAACGTAAAATAAATACTGATAGGTTATTACTGATAGGTTTCTACAGAAGATGCCACATAGATCTTTTTGTTGCTGCGGTCAACAACAAAAAGATCTTATCACCCGAGAGGTTAATATTTTTCTAATTGTTTCTTGGGGCAATTACAAAAATACCACTTTTTGTGTGCACATTTGCAAGAATGCCACTTAGGGGTGTTCATTTACAAAAAAATGCCACTAA